AGTGGCATTATATATATAAAATATGACTTAAAAGAGGAAATTTTACTTTGTAATAAAACGTCTTGAAATTGGGCTTCTGCTGCTCTTTCTGAAATGCCACCATGAGAAAGTCATCACAATATCGCTCCTCTATTAACCCTCATCAGTGCTTTTACCAGCATTGCACTGAGAAGTAGGTTACATAACGAGCTCTGCAGATGCACAGTTCCACCAAATCTACCTTGATATGCAATTATACATACTATAGAAACCATCTGAGCAGTTCCACTAACATCTACAGTCCCTTATTTTCACTCTTGGGGGTTCAGCCAATCAGAGAACAGGAAAATAAGCAGTGCTTCTGGATTGGCTGTTTGGGAAACGCTAGACAGTAACATGTACAGTAGCATCACTCCAACATATTTCAGCTCCTAATAGCAGAAATGCTTTGAGGAAAAAAATCTGTGAGAAGGTAAACTTGCTGTGCTTGGAGTTACAATCCATATAAAACAAAGTTGCAAAACAGGTTGAATTGATGAATACTGAACCAGTTGATCCCAGCCAATTTGCGGTTGAGCATTTGTGAATCTAAATTTGAGTGAAAAGTAACTCCAAATGAAGGATGTTTGGTGTTTTAGCTATTAAAACAGGCAGTTGTAACCAGTTTTAAAAGGGCCTGTCAAGTTTTGCAAGTGAAATTGTTGATAGTTTTCAGTTTTAATTTTCCAAGAAACTTAATGTTGATTTTTTTTTACTGGCTGCAATCAAAAACAGCAAATTAAAAATCCTAAATATACTACTCTGTGTCATGAGTCTTTGATAAACAGGCTTCACTTTTTCAATTCAATGTAGACAGAAATTAAACTAACTTGACTTTCTATTTACTCGGCTGCACCTGTGTGTATATATATATATATATATATATATGACACATGAACTTCGTAAATGCTAAGTCGCAAATTGAAGACAAGATTATGTACACTTGATAATCCATTTTGCTGCATGTGCATGATGCAATAGCAAAGCGATCACCTGCCACTTCAAATGAATAATTAGCCTGTGAAGTCTAATTACCTTGTACAACACAGCACTCAAGGCAATGAAAGCCATGCAGGTGGTGCATTATTTCTGACAAATTACTTTCAAGTATTTCCAAAAAGGAAGACGCGAGCAACAAAAGGAACATCTCCAGCACAATGGTTTGTAAAGAAAAATGCAGATAGCATACATCATCATGTCTCAATTTAAACATTAGATTAAATAAAGTAGCCGTTTGGTTGATTTTCAGCAAAACTACCCAACACGAACTGTTGGAAAACGGAGAAAAGAAAAAGATGTCGATTTTCACTGGTCATGGCTATCCGGATCAATTGCATTCGGGTGAAAACGAAGTTGTCACATTGAATGAAAAGACACCAAGCAACTTGTTCCAACACTTTGTTCAAGTCGTGTGCACTGGGGGTGAAAGATGAAAATGAAGAGCACATAATCCACTGCATAATTAAAGATATTCACAGGTTCAAACATGTGACATCAGTTAGAAGCAAAACATTATGAAAACTGTGACAAGTGAACAGAGACCTCCATACTGCAGCAGAAATAAGTGTTTCCTTCATATTAGATGAAGAGGGCTTAGCTGGAGTTCTGCCTTTATACACTGACAAGATTGTTAAATCAGATCTTATTCAAACTCCCCAATTATCCATGCAAATCTATTCACAAACAAGAAACTTTGTTAGACCCTCAAAGTTTCAGTCATTCACAAAAGTCATGAATGACCCAAAACTACGCTGGTGTGTGTTGACTTTGATTCATGATCTGTATGTCTAAGTGACTGTTTTCTTTTTTTATTCACTCCCTGGACAAAAAAGAAATCATCACCTGAATTTAACAAAGCAAACTGAACCTGCTATTGGATAATTGCTGCAGGAATGATTGTCTTTAAACTGGCAAAAGTTATTTCACCCAAATTGATGCAATGAGTAGCTTCTCTTTTCTTTAACAACCATGTGAAAAGACGCAGCCAGTGGAATAGATGAAAGACTGAAGGGCCAAATCATTGGAATCAACAGAGAAAATATCTAAGATGTTGAAACTACTATAACTGGGTTGAGAACCGTTCAACGCATTATTAAAACTGGAAAGAAAAGTGGAGAACCGCCACCTTAGAGGAAGAATTGTGGTTGGAAAATGTTGAATGATTGTGTTTGTTGTTGTAGGAGAACACCAGAGAAAATGACTTGGATAAGAGCCACATCTATGACAAACATCAGGAACCGTACTGCTTGGTCCCACTTGGAGGTGAGTTGAGAGAAAAAGTGATTTAAAAATAATAATAATAATAATAATGGTTATTAGAGACAGATTTTACTGACAAGTGAAATCTAAAGTTTCAAAGCAACACTGTAATACATATTAAAATATAAATTTTAATATTGTGTAAAAGTGATCTTTTTTTGTCAGTCATCTCTGAAAGTCAAACTCATTATTTAGAATAATTACTAATTATAGATCATGAAAAGCCAAAATTGAGTGAATACTGGTGTCATTAATGTGACACCCTAATCAGATCATTAACTCAAAACACCTGCAAAAAATTCCTGAGATTTTAAACAGTCTCAACTCTGGGTCAAACATGGGGACAACTGCTGACTGGACAGAACAGAGTCATGGACTCTCTTTAGAAAGGGGGGAAGACACAAAAGGTGACCGCTAAAGAAGCCTCTTGTTGCAAAGTGCTGTAGCCAAGCATATCAACAAAAAGTTGAGTAGAAGGAAGAACGTAGTACCAGCAACCCTGAACCAGCGACATCAAAGGTGTCTCATATGGGGCTAAGGAGAAAAGAAATTAGACTGAGTTTTCAGATGAAAATAAATTCTGCATTTCATTTTGAAATCACAGCCCCAGGTTTCACACAGAGCCGTTTGTTTCTTTATCCGGTTACCAGGGTGACACGTCTGAGAAAAATCCAGCCAATCTGTGCCTGCCGTTCTGAGTCAACAAACACTGGGATGGTAGAGCCTTTCTTCTGTCTGTGAACCAGCCACCATGTAGTTCAGTGACTGATTGTTACCCTGAGATTGTGCACTTCCACTTCCTCCTTCCTTACAAGATGGAGGAAAAAGTTGCACCTAAAATTTGACAGCACTCTGAACATTGCTCTCCACTTCAGGAAAGAAAAATGTCCTCACAGCTGAGGAGAGAGACTCACAGTAATTTGGAGATTTAAACTCAATTAAACATACCTTTAAGAATTTTGGAAGTGTACAAATCAACATAATTGATTGTAAATTTGATTATTTGAAAAAAACAATTTAATCTTTGAGGTTTCATATGATGAACACTCAACTTTTTCCTGTATTGCGACAAGTTTGGCAAATTTGACAAAAAGGGTTTTGCCTTTAATAAGACGTACTGCAGGAGTCAATGTTTTACTGTGAAAGAACAGGTTCAACTTTGATTTCAGGGAAGGAAAAAAGAACAAAAACATGGGAAAATCTCCTTTTAGAGGAGACGAAAAGAAATCTTTTACATTGCTATTTGTGAATTGCCACACTTAGATGTGGGGGAAAAAAAGCCAAACGAGCCAAAAGGGGGTTGTTGAGAAAGCCTGTATTATCCAGTAAGCTTATATTCTATGTTATATTTACTAGATGTAGGGCTTTTCAAGCAGAAAACCAGAAAGCAGTACTTTCAGCACATTGACCCTTACGCGTTTGAGGCAAAATGCATGAATGCCTCGAGGATTTTAAACATTTTAAGCATAAAACCACCGACAACGTTCAGCTGGGAAAATGGGTAATGCACTGCAAAGCAATTAATGTACGAATTCATGCAACTAAACAAAAAAAGTCCTCCAGCTCAAGATTTTGCCCAACAGGCTACATCTTGTGTGACTGGTGCTTTACAAAAGGTTCCTTTCATCACTGATAAAGAACAATATAACAGAAGAGAGAGCTTTGAGCAATAAAACAGAATTAAAAAAAAACTCAAGTGAAGCCCAATTTTTGCATTTAAAAGGTCAGTTTCGATTCTACTATTAAAAAGCAGATAAGACTATAGTGACTATATTGAATCGACTTAATTACATCCAATCGCTTAACTAATAACCTTTCAGTGAACCGGTTTGGCTGCCACACAGCTGAGGGCGCTACTGATCATCTTTAAGCCGAGAAACGGACCAAACATTGTGGAACATCAGAAGCACCATATGCGGTTCTGTTTTGAAGTGTACAACACCCAGTAAGCTCCTTATGTTATCACCTTGAATAACCGTCAGCTCAACCAAACATGACTAAGGTGCTATGAAGGCGAGGATGTGATGATGACAGAAAAACTGAAGGGATTATGTAGAAAAATTGTAACCAGTTGGGGGGGGGGAAACATGATGCAAGTTTTGTAATGTGACAAAAACAATTTTCGGTTTATTCAGTCACAAATGACTCAAAAAAAATGTTGAAGTATAATGCTCCTTTTTATATTCATAAAAAATTTAGCCCTTTTACGTTATGGAAAGTCAGCCTGCCCTCTTGATGCGAAAAGAAAGTGACCATTTATCAATTAATAGTCTGTTGATACGATCAACTCAATCAATAACTTGCATCCTTAGTTGTAACAACCAGCCTCACCTGAAAACATTAGCATAATAAAACTGAAAATAAACGGGAGATGTGTGCATATTCGCTTTAGCTCTGAGCACAGGAAGAAGATTATATATGCATACACTTCTATGCACTCCATCTTGTTTTGTATTACTATTTTCTGAAGCCTGAAGCAAACGGCAAAAAAAGTCCCGCTTCATGTGCCGACTGTGAAGAGCCAGCTAAATATAAAAACAATATGCTTCATTAATGCAAACACAAACAAAAGTGACAGGTGCACCGCTAGCAATCCAGCTTCTTGACATGGCCAGCCTCAAGACGGAATAACTAAGCAGCAGCTTTAACTCATTAGCAGTCAGAAAGTGTTAAAGCACGAAAACCAGCCGCAAATACAGAACAATTGTGCTTAAAAAACTTAAGACGGAAACAGAGGAGAGGTTTAATTTCTCCTCATGTACATCAGGAGAAGTGTGTCACACTGCCGCTTTTGTCTCTGCTGTGAGCGCCGCTGGTGCTGGGAAGGTTGCCAGCTACATTCAATCCATGACTGGACAAATGCTGCTCCTCGTAGGCACGAGCGAAGAGGCAGACGCGCCCGCTTACATCACTACATCCACCGATGTAACGGTTAGACGTAATCCGTTCAATCCATTTAGCCCGGGTCAGCTGCAATGTCGTCTTCCTGGAGCGCGTCCAGCTCTTTGTTCCGCCGTTTGATGCCTCGTCTTTTTGCTTCTGGCGGCGAACCAAACTGGATCAATTTACATATTAGATAAAGACGCACGCGCCTCTTAAATGTATGAAATACTGCCACTGCTTCACTCATATGGAGATTAACCTGTTGATTTATGCACGGGCAGTTGCTGGTCAGGGTTTGTACACTGTTCCCCACAGTAAAATTCAAGTGTTTTCTAACATTTATAGTGCCAGACTAACAAAAACAATACAAATGAACTAAAGAAGACAGTTTCAATTCCATATTATACGACATCATTAATAATTGTTCAAACTGATGTGTAAAAAGAGAAAGCAAACACAACTTCAAAGGAACTGAATAAAAAAATTGGTTTAGAACAGCAACAATGGAAAGATGACTTTAAAAATCACTATTATGAAGTAATATGGCATTGACTAAGGAAGTTTTGTTATGTATTTTTGTTTATTTGTGGAGTATTTGATATATGTAATAGTCTTCTGAGCCTTTTGTGTGTGCAGATATGAGTTTATGCTTCTTTCTGCTCCTTTTCCTTCCTGAAAAGGAGCAAAAACTATTCATGTTTATTATTGAGTATATGAAATAAAAAATAAAATGAATATCTTGTGATAGTATTCTACATTCTACAGCAGGGACAAAGTAAACTAAAACTATGACATCAGTTTATATTTGGAAATGGCTCTCTTAAACACTCTATGCACCTAACTGGTCTGTAAAATTTACAAAATAAAATCTAAAAAATGTTTTTGCTAATTTTTTTGACAATTAACAGAAATAATTTAGCTGATTCCAACTAACCTAAAATAAGAAAGATTAAGTCTGATTTCACTTCAGACAGTGAGAAAAAAATTGCAGGTTTCTTGTCTGGTTTCAACTATAAATAATGCCTTCTGATGAAACATTAGAGTGGACTTTGAATACCAAGCACTTTCAAGAATTTTATGCAAAAATCCAGAACTTTCCAAATCTAATTCAAGCATTTTCAAAGATTTCAAGAACCCATACTAATGTTACTGGTGCTTTCCTCTCCTCTCTGAAAGAGGAAAGATTTGTGTTTTTATCAATCTTTTGTAGAATAAAAAAAAAAAAACTAGTTTGGTGTTTAACATTTCATTAGTCCGTCAGTCTATTGGCAAAATTATCAGCAGAATTATGGAAATAATTATGAGGTTCAAACCCATCAACATCCCCTCTGCTTTAGCGTCCGAAGGTTTATGTCTTATTTCATATACATGCATAAATTTTACAGCTAGAGATGGCCCAGAAGGCAATGAATTTCTTCTTCTTCACTCAGATCTCCATTCATATCAGCTCCACGAACGCTGCTCTGCCTCTGACCTCCAAACCTTTACATGAACAGCAACATTCCACCTGCAGAGCAACAAATCACAATGAAATCTTACCCACAAATCTCTGTTTGGCTCCAAGACAAAAAAAAAGAAAGTCATGTCTTTCATGTCTGTGAGTGTCTATAAACCTAATTGCTGACAAGTGAAATACCGAGCTAACCCTAACCATCATAAGAGGAAGTGAGGCAGCCAAGAAATCTAAACCATCCTAAATCAATATGGAAATTACCAATAAGGAAAATATTCTGGGAATCAATGTGCAAACTGAACTTGACATTAAACCAAGTGAGTGTGAATGCCTGGTGTGCAAGTTCTCGGAGTCGAGAAATGTGATTCAAGTTCATTCGAGTTTGGATTTAATTGTTTCGGAACAAAGACAGGATATGGCAAAATGTCTGCAACCAATGCATTAAGCATGCACCTTCCAACCAAACATGCTGCACTAAAGGACAAGAAATATAAAGAACAGAGAACCCCGAACAGAAGAGTGCCGAGTAATGCAAGAATCACACTAGTATTCCCAAATTCAACTATTCATTGAATTTGCTGTGGAACAACACCAAAATACCAGAACCCATCCAAGCATTGAACAGATGAATGTGTGGATGTGCCACAACGTTCTTCTGCTGAACAGAAACAAAACTGAAGTTATTATCTCTGGACCTAAAGAGGAACAATCTAGGGTCAACGCACAGCTTCAGTTATTACAGCTGGAAACTAGAGATCAGACCTGAAACCTGGGAGAAGTGATGAACTCTGACCTGAACCTTCAGAGCCACATAAAGACAGTTACAAAGTCGGCCTTATGTCGCCTGAAGAATATTTCCAGGATTCCAGGACTAATGTCCCAGCAAGATTTAGAGAAACTCGTTTATCTTTAGTTGCACTGATAACTGCAACAGTGTCTTTACAAGTCTGCGTAAAAAATCAATTAGACAGCTACAGCTAATCCAGAACGCTGCTGCTCACGTTCTCACTAAAACCAGGAAGACAGAGCACATAACACCAGTTCTGAAGTCCCTAGACCCATTCCCAGACTTTGAAATCATGTTAGTTTATAAATCACTGAACGGTTTAGCACCACCATACATCAAAGTTATGCTTTTGTTGAACCAACCTCCCAGACCTCTCAGGTCTTCTGGTTCTGGTCTGCTCTGTATCCCCAGAACCAGAACCAAACCTTGAGAAGCAGCATTCAGCTTTTATGAACCAGAAATCTAGAATAAACTTCTAGAAAACTGGAAAACAACCAAAACACTGAGTTCCTTTAAAGGTAGACTGACTAAAAACCTACCTGTTCAGAGTTGCTTTTGAAACATCATAAATGAAACAAACATTCTCATGTTTAACTAGAACATTTGAAAAAATATAATGCTTCAGTTGTTGACTGTATGTTCTGACTTAGTATGTTTGTGTTTTTATGAAGCACTTTGAATTGCCTTGACGCTGAAATGTGCTATACAAATAAACTTGATTGATTGATTGATATATTAATTATGCACGTTTTTAGAGTGGGGTTCCTAAGTATTTGCGGATTTTAATTATTTGCAGGCATCAAAAATGAGAATGCGGTCCCTAAGCCCCATAAATACCAGGAGTCTAGTGTATATTGAACTTTTAGATAATTCTTGTTTTGTCCCACCAACAAACAGGTTTTAGAGCTACATGGCTGCTAACAGTACTTTTTGCAATGGTAGCCATTGTATTTCAGTGCAACAGCTAGCATTGCAAAACGTAGTGACGATAGCCCAATGAAACCTGACAGAACTAGTACTAAAGTTCCCACTGCTAAAGAAGCTATTGTTGCAGCATTCCGGCTACAAACAAACACTGACCAAGTAACGGATAACGTCTAAAGGGTTTGCAAGTAAGAAAGTACTGCTGTCCAACACAGCGAGTTGACAATGCTGATGCTGACTTGATGCTCAAGATAAAGAGCTGTTTGTTTTTTAAGAAATCTGGGTTGCACTTTATTATTTCTAGTTAAAAGTCAAGATTAGAAAACAGAACAGAAAAACAAAGTTTATGGTCTGTGAAACCTTCGATCATCTGTCAAAACACAAGGAAACTCAAATCCAGCAGGAAAACTACAACATACAGGCTGGTCAAACATGAAGTGATTTTTTTGACACTGACTTTAGGTTTGTTAACCCAGAAGTGGTGACCAATGAAAAATAAAAATTGGGATTCTTTATCTTCTCAAAATATTGTCAAAATTGTATTTTGCTCTTGCTGGTATCAAATCATCATCTCTGCTAAAAACAGCCATTTCTGACTGATCATGAATACTGTTAGGTCTTTTCATATCACCAGCTGCTGTTAAAGCATCCTGCCTAAAACACACGTCTAACTCTGACTCACAGCACAGCTGATAAATACTGATTAGAGATCAGAAATGTCAGTCAACTTCAAAGTGGTCTTCACCAACCCTGAATGCTTATTTCAAAAATGAATGTCTGTTGCCATCTATGAATCAGATTTGTGCAGATAATATTTCTTCAGGCATCCTCTGCAATCGTATAATACAAATGCAGGTGAATCAAACACCTACTGGAAAAAATGCTTTTATTGATGTAATGTTATGGTTTAACGGTGGTTATCTAACTGCAAAATTCAATCTTTTTTTTAACCACTTTTTGATAGAAATAGTTACACCATTTGAGTTTTAACACTGGAACCCATTTAATGGAAAACCTCAACTGTCCTCTATGAACGTAAAAGGTTGACACCAAGTGTAGGAAGAAAAACTGACTTTTCAGGTACATTTGAGAAAGGTTTCCACTTGACTTGCATCAAAGTGCTTTAGGAGCCTGTTTGGATGCCATGTGGGGCATTACACAATGACAAAAATAAAAAATTAATTGGTTTAGGTCTCAGATGTCCCTTACTGAACAGGGTGAGCTTGTACTAAAAAGGATTTATAGGAGATGGTTGAATTGTCTTAAGTCGCAGACGATCCAGCAGGGAAACAACAACACAGGTGCGATTTTATATATATATATATATATATATATATATATATACACACACACATATATATACACACACACACACACACACAGGGGCAATCAGTTGTTCAAAGGTTTTGGTTTGGCAATTTTGGTCCCCAATACAGAGTCTACCAGACTATCAGGTGAAAACACCCTTAGGAATCAGATACCAATCACAACTTCTTGGAGTTCCTTTACATAGAAAGAGAGATGGGAGTTTCAGCTGCCCAAGTTGATCTTGCAACGTGGTTGTAAGAGTAGAAACCCCAAGTTTCTGGGAACCAGGATTCCCTGAAGACCTTCTGCAAGTTAGCCTGCCAGCCACAGACCTAACCGTATCGGCATATAACGTTTTAAAAGTAGCACATTTGTTGTGGATCGTCCTGCATTTACCTAATCAGAATCTGACCACAGGCTGGGTGGGATTTGGGTTGGCAGAGCACTGCAGCGTGCAACAGTCTCAACACAGCCATCAAGGAGAGAACATGCCTTACAGCACATGTAAGCTTGTCTTTTGTGCGACAATAGTGAAATTGAGGCAAGACTTATTAAAAATGAAAAGAATAAAATAAAAGTGTCTGCACTCTGTATTTTAGAGTCCAACGGTTGGCTTTGCAGCAAAGATGCATGTATGAAAGGGGAAATTGCATTTCGTCTCCATGCAGCTAATTCTGATTGTGGATCCACAAATGAGCAGACTACCCTGTGGGGCGCCACTACTCAACACTACTCTAATACATGCCTTGTAATGACACTTCCAGCCCAGTGCTGTAAACAGGATTGCTTTGCTGCATCAATAAAAATAAGGAGTGGGACAATAAAGAGAAGAGGGAAGGAGATTGGTCCCCAGAGATTTCCAGACCAGAGGGATGTTTTCTATTGCGTGTCACATCTTTTTGTGCAGCATATTGCAGCCTATGTAGGACATATTGTCATGTACATTTGTTTATCAGTGTCATGAGAGCCCTTGGAGTAGCAAGAAATGAGAGAGGAGGAAATCAGAAGGAGATGGATGACAGGTGCTTAATATGTTCTGAGTCTGGCTCCCAGGAGTGGGTTGGTATTTAGATCACAAGTCCAGTCCAGTGGACTCCAGCAGAGATAATTATCCAAATGGTTTCCTCATCAACCAGTCAATCTAAGCAAGTAAAAATAGTCTTTGATCCTGTGTGCTTAAGTTGAAAGAAATTCAAACAAACCTGCTGGCTCTTCTAAAAATACAAAAACAAGATAATGAAAGCTGTATTTGTGTCTGAGAGTGCGTGAGTGCGTGTGTGTGCGTGTTCGGAGGAGGGGGGTCAAAAGCCACAATGACCAATCACAACACCAGCTGCCTCTGCAGTTGCATGTTACAGAAAATTAGCACAATCACGTTTAGTGCAACACAACCGTGACACTGAGAAAAAGAAAAAAGAAAAAAAGACCAAAAGAGTGTCTCCTTACTCACCACATGAAAGCACCGCGGCGCAGATGATGGGAGTCCATCTGAAATCCCGCACACCTGACATGGTAGAAGAAATCCCAACGGATGGACCTTAAAAATCCCAGTCGTCCAGTAGTTTCGGGTCTGTAGTGGAGACACAAAGCTTCGCCTGCGGGCGTGAGCTGGTGCGGGGTTCTCCAACTTGGATGATGCGCAATGGGCAGATGTGTATATGTGCGCGTGACAATGCGCTGTCGAGGTCTTTCCAAAATGAAATGGAAATAAATTAAATAAATAAATCGCTAGAAATGCATTAGAGTCCAGTTTCAATGTTGCCGGAGTCCGGTCAACGTCCGGTTTCTTTCCACAAATAGGGGATAAAGTTGTTACACTGGTTTCATGTAAGAAACTCGGCGAGTTGCTCCACGCGCTCTGCAAGGAGACCCGATCAATTCACCCCCAGAAAATGATCAGTTTGAGGACACGAGTGGGGAAAATGACGCGCGCAGCGGCTTCAACGCAGAACTCCCGCACGCCTTCTCCAAACAGATCCAGACCAGAATCACAATGAAGACGAACAGGGATATTTTTCGTTCTGCAACTCCTGTGTCTCCACTTAGCAGAAATTAAATAGAAATCGTTTTCTATATCAAATTATGGAGACGGTGAAGAAGAGGAGCGGGGAAAAGGGGGAAGAAAAGAGGGGGACATCGTATGGATCCGCACTGCTCGGGTTCGGCTGGCACTGACTTCTCTAGGTTTTTATTAACAATCCACAGCGGAGACAAGAAGCCGGAACACAGTCAGAGCGGAAAGAGTCAAAGCTGCAGGTTTAAATAATCCGAGGAAAAGAAACATGGGGTCCGGTTCGGTGCTGCTTGAAACACAGCCAAGTCCACAGAACTCCGCGTTTTTTTGTTTTTTACCCCCCTCCCTGGGTCTCTGTGTGTGTGTTTTAATCCCAATCTGTGTGCTGTAAAAGCACTTCTCAATTGGGACGTTTCTGCGGGACACAGAGCTCACGCACACGCTGATTGTCACGCCGAAGCTCGCGCGGCAAGGTGTGCAACTCCGCTCCCAAAACAAGTAAACGTGCTCACCTCGAAATGTCCAGAGCCGCAGCTCAGTTAATCAAAGTGAACGCAACAGATGGCGAACATCCGGTGCAAATGTTCAAAATAAAGTGCACATTTTTAGAAACCGCACGAGGTTCAGTTTTATTTAAATCTGCTCCTAACTTGGGGGAAATATAGGAATTTTCAATAATAAAATAAAAAATGGATTAGATTATTAGTTCCACAGTATCATTATTACATACATCATTAATAAAGAATACAAGGCAAAATGGAACAAAAAATAGGAACATTTGTAGATTACATTGATCTGAGTAGCAATTATAAATTACCTTACTTTTCATTTTCACTTGTATATTCCCGAGATCAGAACTTTAATTACTATCATTCTCATCAAGTATGGACATTAAGGAAAGTGAAAATTAATCAAGACAGTTTGACCTTTATAATTACCATTTCATATAAAATAAAGTAGCAAGATATATAATACTACATAGAATCCCTTTATAATAAAAAAAACTTTTGAACATTGATAATTATAAACAAATATGTTGTGCATTCTAAATAAAAATACTTTCCTGAAAAATGATTCTTAACTATCTGCAGCCTTCTTAATTAAATAAAATTTCATCAATGACACAAAATGCATTCGCTGTATGGAAGCTTTATCTTTATAATAGGTATAGCAAAACCTCTCATGGGTTTAGCTTTTATTTTCGAATCCACGTTGCTGATTTCCGGTAATACCCTTATTAGGCGTGGTGAACTTTACATACTTCAAACCTGACATTGTGGACTGATTTTAATCACGTGTTCTTGCCTGGGAAAAAAAATAATAATTTCCCTTTCACCGCATCATTATCTGATAACCTGGTTAGGCTATTTATGATATTAAGTTTAAATTTATTAAGAGTAAAGCAAGAAATCATTTTGGCCATTTGCTCCTATTTATATTCACTGGGATATACAGGTGCATCTCAGTACGGCAGAACGTCAGCATACTTTCATATAAACCAAAAAGAAGAAAAAGTTAATTTATATAGAAAATGAGTTTAAAAAGTTTAAAAAGTTTGTTCCATCCATCCATCCATCCATCCATCCATCCATCCATCCATCCATCATACCTTACTGGGGTCATGAGGGGTGCTGATGCCTATATCCATTTGTTATATACCTAATAAATGTGAAGTCTTTGTTGAATTTGATTGATTATAGTTGAAATGTAATAAAAAATCAAAGCCAAATGATATTAAGTTTAAATATATATATATATATATATATATATATATATATATATATATATATATATATATATATATATATATATATATATATATATATATATCACATAAAATTGATTTTAAAATATTTATTTTTGAATAGCAAACTGTTATTTAAATGTCAGGATTGTATCAGCGTCTTGATTGTATTACCTGATACAATCAAGAAGAAAACAGTTGTCCAGTAGACGATCTGATTTACTCTACAAGGAGGGTAAACCTCAACAAGTTGCCACAAAAGAATCTGGATGTCTACAGAATGTTGCATTCATTAATTGGAAGGTTCATTAGATAAAAAAACTGACACAGAAAATAAAACATAATCCACAGGGATTGTTTAGTAGAGGAGATTGTGAAACAAAGTTTATTTCAGAGTTTAGAGGAGATTCATAAGACATAATGATTCAATAATTAATGCAAAATTAGTTCTGATGGCATCTTTCCTTTTCTAATTTATCTTATGTGGTATTATAATTAAATTCACAAATACTTTATTAATTCCAAATTGAAATATAAGGATTTTGCAACTGATATGCAATTTTCTTCAAAGATTTGTTGTAGATGCTGGTGGTTGAAGGGCAGGAAGACCTCCTGCAGCAGTCTGTATTACAGCAGACCTGAAGAAGCCTCTGACTAAAGACACATTGTTGTAAGACAGTTTGATTTTTTTTTTTTTTTAACAGACTGCAGAGGGTGAGGGTTAACTGACTTATTTTATTTACTTTCATCTTCCACCAACTTCCTTCATGGCTGAGGTCTTTACACCACTTTTGTTAATTTTATACACTAATGAGTGCCAAAGTTGAAATGAGGGCATACACACCATAAAGTTTGATCTGATAATGGCTGGATGGTGAAGGATTTTATTGGCTTGTGTGAACGCTCATTTCTGAAGATTAATGTAGCAAGAAATGTTAATTAATTTAAATAAAAGAGGCCTCCACAATGTCCAATTTTTATTAAAGTTGTACAACATTACAAAGACTTGGTAGAACTGTTAACAGCTGCTTGACCCCTTTTGAGGCTACTGCATATGCAGTCAGTGCTATTGCTCGCTAGCCTATGTATTTTTTTTATCAGATATTGAGAAGTTTAACAATTGACAATATGAAAATGTTTTAATTTTCATAAAAAGCCCCTTACCCTGAAAAACAAAAAAGCAAAAGGTAATCATCTTTGTGAAGATGTGCTGCTAAACTAAAGGGATAAGTTAGGCAGAGCTCCTCCAGTTCTATAGAACAAGAGTCACAAGGAAGGCTAAAGCTGTCCTTGCTGACCCAAAAACAGTACAAATGCTCATTAATCACTGTTAGTGTCAGCCTCGTTAATAATTTGACCCAATAGGGCCAAATAAAGACTTTAGTAGCCTAGTAGCCTACGTTTGTGTCCTGGTTGTATCATGAGTGCTCTGTCAGTTGTATTTGAACTTTTCTTTCCATTTGTTCTTTGCTAGCTGGAAAACAAATTGCTCCTTGGGGACAATAAAATTTATGTTGACCTTGATCTTGAAGAGGAAGCTCTGCGTTGTCCATGATGTTCATCATTTTATGAAAACTCCTTCTTTGCACAATAATCTGTTGCAAACACTGAAGGATCGAAGCTTCCTCAAGAAGACACATCTACGTTGTTGTGTCCTGTAGACAGTTTCACTGTTGCATCTCCAGTCCATTCTGTCCTCCAGATGAACAAAAGGATATTTATTCTCCTTCACTACCTCCATTTCTTCTCCCAAGATGAAAACAGTGCTTGACCTAATCCAGTTTTTCTTGAAATCTACAATAATCTCCTTTGATTTCATTATAACTATGAAACATAATCATCAAAATACAAAATATAAATGCTGAAAAATACACTTTATGTACTGAGGGAACATGTGAATTTCCCTTTTCAATTCAGTTACTAAATCAATAACTTTCCAATTATACATCTAATTCATTCCAAACTTTTGAGGGACACTAGAAAAGTTTGATATTTTACCTGAAGTTAGGGGTATCCATGGCTGTTTGTTGGGGGAAGCAGCTGTAGAGGTCACAAAACTCAAATAGCTATAAATAAATAAGTAAATTGAATTTAATTTATTGAATTCTTCTCTGAGCTACAGGAAACCAGTGGAATGACATTGGAAATGGGGTGATGTGCTCTACCTTCCTGGTTTTAGTGAGAACTTGAGCAGCAGTGCTCTGGATCAGTTATGAAGGCCTGAATTCTGGGTGAGGTGATGGACTCAGACCTGGACCTTTAAAGACACATGGAAAGAGTTAGAAAATTGGCCATCTATTACCTGAAGAACATTTCTTGAATGACAGGACTAATGTCCCAGCAAGATCTAGAGAAACTCAACTACATGTTTATCTTTAGTCGCTTTGATTACTGCAAAAGTGTCTTCAAAGGACTCCCTAAACAAAATCAGATAGTTGCAGCTGATCCAGAGCACCGCTGCTCAAGTTCTCACTAAAACCAGGAAGGTAGAGCACATCATCCCATTTCCAAAGTCCTTCTACTGGCTCCCTGCAGCTCAGAGAATAGACTTTAAAATACTGCTGTTAGTTTATAAATCACTGAATGGCTTTGAAACAAAATAAAAGAGAGATCTGCTATCAGTCTTCCTGAAATATGCTACACACAAACTTTACTAAATATGAAATATTTCAACCCACTGAAACTTGTCAACTCCTCTCAATTATATTCATGAGAAAATATTTTGCATATGAGACTGTCTTGGTTTCATTTCCTTTAATCTGCAACTTCGGGTTCCCAATGCAAATGGCTAACTCCATAAATCTGTTACTCCCCCTCCTCGGTGGCACTTCTGCTTTAGGCTACAGGTGAACTGTTGTTACTTCCTTGGGAGAGTAACAATATCTTAAAAAATACACTAGTATAGCAGAATATGTATGTTATTTTTTTAATGCTTTCTTCTATAATTTACTTGCCGCCACCCATTCCCTGATGCATGGTTAGTACATTAAGACTGAATCAAACTCCCTAATATAACTTTTCCCACTTTGTGGCTTTTATTTTTAAATCACTTAACTTGAATTATATTTGGATTTCATTGATCTGCCTGTAATTGGATTTGAATCTGTGTTTGACTCTAATGAATTGGATTGTGTCTGTTTAAAATAGGATTTCGTGTAATTGGATTTCAACTGAACTGGTTTGTTTTGTTTAAAAAAAAATAAAAATAAAAAAAACAGTCCTGAGATGACCTTTGAGGAGGAAAAAGAATCATCGAGGAACTATCTAATAAAGCTTAGGGCTATGATAAACTACAAGTGATCAATGCCTATTAGGTCTGCTAACTGTCCAAATAAAGACATTGAAGACATTTTTGCGCATGAAATCTGTGTCATCTGCAAAAAGACTTTGGCTTCTTATAGACTTCTTGTGTTTTCTCTACATTGCCAATGTAAAATGTTTCCAATCAAACACACAAACATTTATTTTTGTAAGTGATCTTTCCTCAGTCACTTACAAAAATGAACCAGGATATATATGTATATATATATTATTCAAACCAATAAGATAGATAGATAGATAGATAGATAGATAGATAGATAGATAGATAGATAGATAGAT